GTGTTATTATAATAAAGCTTTATTAGTACTGTTAAGTATACAGGATGCAGCTCGGAGTGATTTAACAATGTGTCTGATAACACAGGATAAACAGGATATAAATGAATAAATGAGATCATCTAAAAGTTAACAATAAATAACTCACTCAGTTAAACATTTTTTTAAATAAAAATCCTAAATAAATAAATAATTATAAAATAAAATTATAAAAATATAAAAATATAAAATAAGCAAACACATATTAAACATTAAAAGGTAAAGACCAATATAAGGGGGATACTGTTAATTAAAAGCTGGATAAAAATGTCTCGGGGCATTCAAGGTGCAGCTGCTCATGAATACATTTTTATTGGATGACTTCTTCTTTTGTTTGATCAAATAAATGCCATACCTGCTTTGGTTTCCATAGTGATCCATGGCTATCATTCGGTTTGGCCACGGTGCCGTCTGATTGGGCGGCGCTTGTTGATGAGGGTATGCGGGGGCTGCCATTTCCATCTCTGCAGGAGAGAAAAGGCACATTAAAAGTCAGAAAATCCTCACATTTAATATATAGACTTTCCTAATTTCTTGCTTTTTCCCCTCACTGTTAAAAAAAATCTCAATTCTGACTTTTTCGCAAAATTCTGACTTTTTCGCAAATTCTAGAGATTCTGACATTTTCGCAAAATCTAACAATTATGTCTTTCTCAAAATCTTTCTTCAATCTCAGGATCCATGTATCTGTGATCCTCTCCAGAATGGAAGTAGTCATCACATACAGAGCATCAACTAGTTCCTGAACAGTGTCCTTCACATGCTGATATCCAAGAGAGGGAGTTCCACAGTCACAAGATGGAGGAATAGAAAGCAGTATTCAATGTTTACTTCAGATTAGCTCCACGTCAGAAATGATCATGCTTGTCATATGTCTCTCTCCATAGAGGCTGAATCATCATGTTAATCACATAGCTATCATATGCCTCAAACAGTCCTGATGCTCTTCTAGGTAATCACACATCCTGTCATGTTCACAGCTACAGTTGGGATACCTTTGTTAGCATGTGGAACTCATGTTGGAAGAGGACATTCAGTATTTTCCCAACACTCACCGTTGCCCATCATCTGCATGTTGACCATGGTTCTGGATCCCAGCGGCCCTCTGTTGGGCAGCGCACCGTGGTTGGGCACCATGCGACCTTGTACGACCCCGTGGCCCATCATCGCCCCCCCCACAGTGCCCCCTATCGCCCCCTGGGGACCCCAGCCCTGTTGCATGGAGCCCCGCATCGCACCGTTACCCAGCATGCCTGGTGTGGAGAGACAGAAATCACATTTTGAGATTATTGGAGTCATATCATGCGATTCATAATCTTAGAAATTATTTTTTTTCATAGATGAAGAAGGTGGGTATCTGATGCAAATCAAGATGTCTAATTGTATATATCATGTATATTTTCCACATGTATATATATATATGTCTTTAACTTTGTAATGCTATTTTAGTTCTATTGTGTCTAGTGTCTTAGTTTCTCTAAAAAATCTGCCTTTTTTTGATGCTGCTGTCAACCTACCTACCTACCTACCTACCTACCTACCAACCAACCAACCAACCAACCAACCTACCTACCTACCTACCAACCAACCAACCTACCTACCTACCTACCTACCTACCTACCTACCTACCTACCTACCTACCTACCTACCTACCTACCTACCTACCAACCTACCAACCTACCTACCTACCTACCTACCTACCTACCTACCTACCTACCTACCTACCTACCTACCTACCAACCAACCAACCAACCTACCTACCTACCTACCTACCTACCTACCTACCTACCTACCTACCAACCTACCTACCTACCAACCAACCTACCAACCAACCAACCTACCAACCTACCTACCAACCTACCAACCTACCTACCTACCTACCTACCTACCTACCTACCTACCTACCTACCTACCTACCTATGAATGGTCCCCTGTGTATGCATCAGGTGTGCATTAAATATACTGTAATCTCCCTTTGTTAACAAGGAGAACAAATACATATCTATAAGGACATTTCAGATAATAATACGAATGCATCCCAAAGTACTGCACAGCCAGCATTATTTTAATATCAGAGCTTGTATGTGTAACTATGTTTGTATATTTAAACGTGTTAGCACAACAGCACTTTATGCTTGTCCAGAGGGAGCCGATTGAATTCAATTAAATTACAATTCATGAATGGGACACCCCGATGAGCTTCTGGAGCTTGAGAACAGAGGCTGAACAGAAAGAATAGATATTACTAACACTTCTCGAATTGGAGAGAGTTCATGTTGAGAGAAACATTAACAAGCTAAACAACTTCTAACACTAACCCAATAAATATAATCTAAACTACTTAATGGTCCCAAAATATTAATTTTATCTGTATAAATATTTGTTTAAAATAGGAAAAATATAATAAAAAAAGACGTCAAACAGGAAAATAATGGTATAAATTAAATGAACTTCAGACTAAAGTAACTTGTCTTTGAGCTTTGACATATTTGAATCTCTACTGCTGCTCTTTTTAAACACAGATAAAGACTTTGGATTTTCCCGCCTGACCTGGATTGGCCATCGCAGCCTGGTTGGCCATTCCTGCATGATTTCCCATCATAGCTTGCTGGAGCTGTTGTTGTTGTTGTTGTTGTTGTTGCTGCTGCTGCTGCTGTTGTTGTTGTTGTTGTTGTTGTTGCAGTAAGGAGTAGGGGGGGGCGTTTCTGTGCTGGGGCGGGAAGGGTCTGACGGAGCTGTCCAGAGACGAGCTGCGGACCGGAGCGCAGCGGGCCGTCTGAACCGGTCTGACGCCGTTAAATCCTGCTGAGAGGGAGATGGTTTTATTAAATATCTGTTATTATCAAAGTATACGGAATTGTCCTTAACTTAGGAAAAAGTGCTATTACCACACTGTCATATGCTCAGATACAGTACAAGTAAAAGTCCTGCATTGAAAATATTACTTTGGTAAAATTATAAGTATAATCGTCAAAAAAAAGTAATACAAATATAAATTAAGAAAACAATTAGAATAAGATAAAAATGACATCTGTAGGAACCTTAACTCATCATCACTTCTTCATCATCATCATCATCATCATCATCATCATCATCATCATCATCATCATCATCAGTACCTGCAGGTCCGGGGGACGGGAAGCCTCTG